TGTTGGCCGGGCTGGTTTCAAACTCCTGACCTCAAATGATCCATCCACCTCAGCCTCCCAAAGTGCTGGGATTTTAAAGATATGAGCCACTATGCCCAGCCTATTCTGTAACTGAAACTATGTATCACCCTAAATAAGGCAAGGACTCTCTGATCCCTTGGCTCCCCACCCCTGCTTGCAGCACCCATCATATTGACCAAACCTATACCCCGGGTTTTACTTAAAATGTGGTCCAGGGACCAGCAACATCAGCAACAACTGAGAACTTATTTATTAGAATTGCAGAACTTTGGGCCCCATTTCAGACCTACTGAATCAGAATTCTCATGTAAGCAAGAGCTCCAGGTGTTCATATGCACAATAAGCTTCCAGAGTCAGTAAACTAGACTTAACAATAACAACAACAAAATCTGTGGCCAGGCAAAGTGACTCATTCCTGTAATCCCAGCACTTTGGGAGGCAGAGGCAGGCAGACCACTTGAGTCCAGGAGTTCGAGACCAGCCTGGGCAACATGATGAAACCCCATCTCCACAAAAAATACAAAAATTAGCCAGGCATGGTGGCGCATGGTTGCAGTCCCAGCTACTCAGGAGGCTGAGGAGGATCACGTGAGCCCAGGAGGCAGAGGTTGCAGTGAGCTAAGATCGTGCCACTATACTCCAGCCTGGGTGACAGAGCCAGACCTTGTCTTTAAAAAAAAAAAAAAAAAAATCTGTTAGGATGATAGATCTCACGTTAAGTGTTCTTGCCAAAGAAAAAAGGTAATAAAGTTTCAAGGTTTGGGCTAAGGAAGGGACGAGCAGACATTTCACTGCTGCTTCAGCATAAGGGTGTAACTCAGTTAATGACTGAGTGTAGGTAGGTAGCAGTGGGATGCCCTTCTTCAACCTGCCAGTGCAAACCCTCCAAACAGGCCAGAAAGGACTTTTTCTGTCTGAACTTGTAATTCTTTTTCCAGATGGTCTGAATGTCTAAAGGGACTTCTAACCCTTCTTATATACCTTTGATTACCACTTCCATGTAGGTTTCATCATATTTGGGAGAAATGTCCAAATCTAGAGAATTCTCTTTTTTGTTTTTGTTTGTTTTTTTGAGATGGAGTTTCCCTCTGTCACCCAGGCTGGAGGGCAGTGGCGCGATCTCAGCTCACTGCAACCTCCACCTCCCAGGTTCAAGCAATCCTCCCACCTCAGCCTCCCAAGTAGTTGGAATTACAGGCATGCACCACCATGCCCAGCTAATTTTTGAATTTTAGTAGAGATGGGGTTTCACCATGTTGGCTGGGCTGGTCTCGAACTCCTGACCTCACGTAATCCACCTTCCTCGACCTCCCAAAGTGCTGGGATTATAGGCATGAGCCACCGTGCCTGGCCCAAATCTAGGGAATTCTTATTTCATCTTCAAAGGAGATGGACTCATCCTTTCCTCAAAAACCAGATTTTACAAAGGAGACAGAACAGCACAGCAGAAATGATCCCAGCCCTAACCTCACAAAATACTGTTCTCAGTCCTAGTTCTGCCTCTTGCAGCTGCCACATGACTCTGCAGCAGAGACTCCTTCCTTGTGATTCTATTTCCTCACTTGTCAAGGATGGATTGTGTGCCCCTCACCTCATCTTATCAGATTATTGGATGGGTCTCCAAATCCAAGTAAAATAAAGTATTTGAAAGTACTTGAAAAGTATCATACAAAAAAAGTCAAGGGAAGCAAATTTGAAGAGATCATCGAGAAATACATTTTCCCAAAATCTTAAAAAATGACTGCAATACTCACAGGTTCCTCAACAACAACCACCACAAAAGCAGTGTGAGATCAATGGAAAAAAATCTAACCTCATTCTCACCCCTGCCATCACTGATTCCCTGGTGCAGAGTTAATTCCACAGTGGATTAGTGACCAGTTCCCCAGAAGTCTCTATCTGACAAGTGATACCAGGCAGAATTCATGTGAAACTAAAACTCAATCTTCAGAACTAAGAATTGTATAGAAAAAAGATAAAGGAAAAGAAATTTAACATTTTTTGAGAATCCAACGGATATCAGGTACTTTTTTTGCATTATTTCATGGAATCTTCATAATCATGCTGTAAGAATGGCATTTTATAGGTAGAGAAACTAGGGCCCAGTGAGATTAAATGGTTTATTCAAGGTCACATGGCTACAAAGTCACTGAGGAGAAATTTAATCCATGATCTTTCTCTTGGACCACTGAGGTCCAGAAATCCAGAATAGGGTGACCCGGATGATATTCTGGAAACATGGCATTATTTACTGTGAACAGAAATTGTGGCTCAACATGAAGCAGAAATATTGCTGCTCATATCTCTCAGGCAGAACTTTGACTGTCACAGCTCTAAAGAGCTTCATTCGTGCTGTGTTCTACCAAGCTTTGCCATCATCCAAAAAA